AGATTAGCAAAAATACAAAAGCTCTCATGGAAATACGACGAAACCTAAGCGAGAACGAAAAGGGAAACAAAGAAGAATATAAAAAAACTAAAATAAAAGAATTTCAGCGGAAATTAGAAAAGATGTAAGAAGATATAATACTAATGAAATTACTCAAACAGTAGAAGAGAACAAAGGTTTAAAGATAATGAAAAGAAAATCCACACAAAGTAAAAAAGACATATACAAGCTGAGAGATAAAGACGGAAAGGCAATAACAGATAAACAAAACATTCTGAAAATAACCAGAGAGTTTTATAAAGACCTCTATACCAGCCAAAGACCAGAAGACAATTTCCCGACACGAGTAAAGTCTCTCATAAATCAAGGACCGGAAATACTTTTACCCATTACTGTGTCAGAAGTAAGAGCAGCTTTAAAGGAAATGAAGAACCATCGATCGCCTGGTGATGATGGGCTCGTTATCGAGGCAATAAAAGCAGGAGGAGAAATTTTATTAAAATCAGTAAGCGAACTGTTTAATAAATGCTTACATGCGCGTACGATTCCAAAAGACTGGAACAATGCAGTAATAGTCTTGTTACACAAAAAAGGCGATATTACTAAATTAGAAAATTATAGACCCATCAGCCTCTTGACACATATGTACAAACTCTTTATGAAAATCTTAACAAAGAGGCTAACACCTAAACTTGATTTCTGTCAGCCCAAAGAACAGGCAATCTTCAGGGCAGGATGTGGTACAAATGACCATTTGCATACTATAAAGATCTTAATAGAAAAGTGCATAGAGTACAACATACCACTGGTTCTTGCATTTGTCGATTACGAGAAGGCTTTTGAAAGTTTGAGTTTAAAACAATACTGGAAGCCCTAAATCAAAGCCGAATAGATTACAGGTACACGACACTAATCAAAAACATCTACGAGAACGCTACATCAAGTATACGACTACACGAAGACACAGAAAAATTCAGCTTAGGGCGAGGAGTTAGACAAGGAGACAATATTTCACCAAAATTGTTCACGGCAGCTCTAGAGTCAATATTTAAGAACACTCAATGGCAAGATACGGGCATCAATATAGATGGAGAAAGATTAAATCACCTAAGATTTGCAGATGATGTATTAATCGCAGATAATTTACATGATACAGTTTCTATGATGTATTCGCTTAAAAGTCTCTCTGAAAGAGCAGGATTAAAGATAAACTTTGAGAAAACTAAACTTATAACAAATCTCGTAATGAGTGGAAATATAACTATTGACAATAATACCATACAACAAACAGACACTTACAAATATCTGGGACACGAAATCAAAATAAGCAGAGACAATCAAACACATGAAATATAGAGGCGAATAGGCCTAACATGGGCAGCATTTGGCAAATTAAGCTCTATTCTAAAAAGTTCAATTTCCATGTATCTCAAGCGTAAGGTTTATAACCAATGTGTTTTACTTGTACAAACTTATGGAGCAGAGACTTTAACACTCACGCAAAAATCTGCGAATAAACTCAGAGTTACACAACGAGCCATGGAACGTGCAATGCTGAACGTGAGCCTTCGAGACCACATAACAAACCAACAAATCAGACAAAGATCAGGAGTTCAAGACGTCATCGAAAGAACCACCACGCTTAACTGGAACTGGGCAGGGCACTTAGCCAGAACACAAGATGGACGGTGGACAAGACATATTATGGAATGGAGGCCCAGAAACTATAAAAGAAGCCGAGGACGACCACCGACTAGATGGACTGATGATATAAAACGTGTAGCGGGAAACTGGTTACAAGCGGCCCAGTGTAGCGAACACTGGAAAGAACTGAGGGAGGCCTATGTCCAGCAGTGGACACGATTGGCTGATTGATGATTTTTGTTTTCAGGGTGAGGTCATGGCTTTTGAACACAGAGCTCATAGCCAAGAATGCACTTTTGGCCTTTCCGATGCGACATTTAATCTCTTGGGTATTGTCCCACGACTCATTGATTATAGTTCACAAGTAATTGGGACTTAAATCGACTTATCGCGTTTGAAATGTTAACATTTAGAAGATTATTAAGGATTTTATGGTTAAATAGAGTCACGAATACAGAAGTGTTAAGGATAATAGGCAAAGAGAGGGAAATGGAAAAGACAATAAAAGAAAGGAAATTGCAATATCTCGGACATATGATGAGAGACGAAAGACACAACATCTTAAGGCTCATAGTTCAAGGAAAAATAGAGGGTAGGAGAAGCGTAGGAAGAAGACGCGTTTCCTGGTTGAAGAACCTGAGAAAGTGGTTTAGTTGCAGCTCAAGGCAATTGTTCAGAGCAGCTGCTTCGAAGGTCAGAATAGCCATGATGATTGCCAACCGCGGAGATGACATTTAAAGAAGAAGAAGAAATTAGAACAATCTGTACTCTTATCAATTATTTAATTTCTAGGTAAAAAGAATGTTGATTTAGGCGCCGTTAAGAGTTGAACTGTATAAAGACAGGTTTCCTAAAACACTAATTTCTCCACAGTAATTGGTGACAAATGGAGAACCTGGTTAGAGGATGTCCTTTTTTATGCCGATTATTCAACATTGTCTATATTGAAAAGTTTTCCTTTTCATTTTATTACGTCTTAACAAAATAAAAGTATTCTCTACTGTATATTTTGTACTGCAAAAATTATATATTAAAACTAAATGTATGCGAAACTGGTTAGAAAATACGACTAACACGACCGAGCCTATTAGTGTGTACGCCAATGCCATTATGCAATCCCACAGACGCCAATACATCACTAGATATCACTTTCTCCACTCAGAACGCTCCCTTAAGGACATTAACCACAAGGTTATTGCACAATTCCCTCAGTGTTTTTCTCGGAATCCCCAAGTTCTCACGCTTGTTTACATTTAATAATATTTAATAATACGCTATCTTTGAAGATAGTTTTGAACAGTTTGTGTTTTAAAAAGGTGTGGTAAACTTTATTATAAATAGATCGTAGATTTTCGTCAATTTGTTCAGTAATATGGGTCTTATGCAGTAGATGTTCACCATAATATCTACGGTTAGTTAAACCTGTAAACCAAACATCACATTGTGAACTTGTTCTTTTTGTTTATGGCTGGTTGTAAAAACTGTGCTATCAATAATTTTCAAATATAGTATAGTCAGACGGAGATCAAAATATCGAGCAACGAAAAGTGAAATATAGCGTTTTACAAAAAATGAAATTGACAATTTTATAAAAGAGACCATAATTTCTCACATATCTCAAGTTTAATCAAATAAAGAATTACTTCATCGAAATGTTTAGTGAATGTGAATTTAAGATGAAGATGAGACGGATGCAACTGGAGACGGATTCTTGGTCCTAGTTTACTTCCTGTTCTTCTTTTTTTTGGTGCTTATTCGTTTCGAATGTTAGCCATCATTCTGTACGTTACATTTTCTTCTAATGTCTTCACTCCTCTTTCGATCTCTCAGTGTATTTCCTGTAATTCTTTTCAGGACTCTCATCTCTTTCTCGTTCCATGATCAAAGTGATGAATTCCCTTGTCTTATTCTGCTGCCTATTTCTATAGGTTCTGTAAGTTCTCCATCGACTACGGATTTGCTGTTCTGGGTAGCTCCTCTTTTTAGTTCTGAATAGTCGCCTTGTTTGTGCTTTTGTTGTGCAAGTGGGGTCTTGTAGCATTTTCAATTTTTTTTCGTCTTTATTTTCAGAATTTCCTCGCATGCTTTGTCAAACCGTTTCCGTTTTGGACAAGTCCTCTTCTTTCCAATGGTTTCCTTGGCTGCTTGTTCTATAACTGATGTCACTTGCTACCATGCTTTTTCTAACTCTACATTATGCTCTTTCTCTTCCAACAATTGGAATCTGTTGCTTATTGCCACTTGATAATCCAGTTCTTTATTTGGTGTTTGTAGGGCTTTTATGTTCCATATTTCTCTTTTTTCTTGTTGTTCCAGTTTCTGTATTGATAATCACGTTCTTAACTTTGATTTCAACATAAAGTGATCGCTATCACTTGCAGCTTCTCTCATACTTCGCGAATTAACAATGCTACTAGAGTGTCTTGCGTCAATGAGGACATAATCTATTTTCCTATTATCCTCTGATTTGTACTTGTAAAATTTTAGTTTAAGTTTTAGCGTAGTATTTAACAAGTTTATACCTCTGTAGTTTTCTAGTTGATTTTTATCTCCTTTTATGAATAGTAGAATTAGTTCCTTTTCGTAAAAATCATGTTCCATTTCTTTCGAAGAGCATTTTTCTTACAATTTTTCTTACAAGTGCATGTGTTTCGTTTCTAATTGTCTTGTAATTGTGGTATGCCTCTTGCGTTTTGGTTGACCTGTCTTTCAGGTAAGCTTTTTTCTTTTCTTTACATTTTTTTTTCACTTCTGTACAAAACGACCAAAGTTCTTCGCCTTGGGAACTATTTATTTTTATTTGCATTTCTTTCACCAAGAACTTAATTGGCCGAGGCTAAGATATTAGACTTAATTTTTTGCCCAGCTTTCTTCGACTCCATCATTTTCTGTGAAATATGTGTTTTTGCTTTTTCTGGTTATTCATTTTTGGAATAGGTATCTTGTGGAGTCATCCTGTAGCTTTCGACTTTTATCTGTGTCTTTATTCTTCTTATCACATTAAAAGAGTACAATTATATTATAGAACTAACAATAAATTACGTACTGTTTAAAGGTTTAAAAAGACAGAAACAGATCTGAAGTGAAATAACTGGCAATGAGAAATTATTTTATTATCATAAAAACTGTGCTATCAATAACTTTCAAGCGGAGTATTATTGAACAAATGCATAATTACAAACCGAAACGAAGAATGTGGTACTGCTATAACAGATGTTGTTTCACATTTTAGGAATCGTCAGTGCAGTAGTACCTTAATAATGATAGTGGCTTTTGTAGTTTTGCTTCTAATAATATTTGTATATAAATTAAAATTGCATTTGCAATATACTAATTTTAGGTTTTTTTCTTTTCAGGTAAGCAATCTCATCGATATAATGGTAAGACTCTTGAATTTTTTCGATTTCCCTATTCTGTACGGATCTTTTTAACAGACGACCCTTAACAGTGTTGCTGGACTCTATCAAATGATTATATTCAGAAAATGAAATAAATAGTTATAAAATAGTGTTATAAAAGAAGAAAATGCTCTTTGTTTCTTCAAAGTCACTACAATTGAAGCATCCAATAATGACAAAATTACGCTGAAGCTTTAAGTGAAAAATAAATGTTTACATTACTATTAAAATAGCTTTATGTGTACATTTTTAATGTTTTATAATAATTGTATAACAATAAATGTATGTAGATATAAAGTTCTGTTTAATATTAAAGAAATACTAGTTGTGTCCATTGCATTATTCCTCCATCAGTGTCTAAACGAAACTACAGGGTTACGCAATTGAACTGTTACCTATTCAAACGTCTATAACTTTTTTGTGTGAAATTATTTTTTATTGATTTAAATAACAAAAATGTGTGAAAATAATCAAAATTTTAGAATCCACTCACTTTAGCTCGATGTACCTTTTGCCTTGACTATGGCCTTCAAACGATCAAAAAACGAGTTGCATGCTGCACGAATGTGATCTTCCGGTATTTTGGCCCATTCACATATAATTGTTTTCTTCAACGCATCCATACTGGCACATTTTTTAGTCCTCACCTTGCTCTCCAAAATGGACCAGATGGGATAGTCCATCGGATTTGCTTCTGGAGAATTCGAAAGCCATTGTGTGGATGAAAAAAAGTGTGGAACATGGTTTTTTTAGCATTCTTGGTTCACACTAGCTCAATAGGGAAATTTTTCTCATCAGAGAACACTATGTTCGGAAATTCGCCACGTTCGTGCAAGCGTAACAACTTTGCTCTTTCAAGCCGACTTTTTTTCCTTTGGTGTAAGATTGTGTGCTTTTTGGAATTTGTAGGGCTTGACTTTGAGCTCCTTTTTCAATATTCGTTGCATGCTTCGCTGGGATATTTTCAGTTTTTTGGCCATTTGATTACCACTTCTTCTTCAAGTGCCATCTTCGTTCCGAAGGTTGGCGATCATCAGGGCTATACGTATTTTCGAAACTGCTGACCAAAACAATTCGTTGTTGCTACAGCTATACCATTCCCGTAGATTCTTTAGCCAGGAGTTTCGCCTTCTTTATAAAAACTCTTTTTATTTTATTGAATATGGATCTGGCTTTTTCTATTTTTATTTTGATTTCTGCTGAGCTAGCTAGCGTTGTCTTCATTTATAAAAGTGCCTAAATATTTGTATTTGCTAACTCGATCGATAATTTCATTGTGTAAATATAAATTTTGGACATTTTTGACGGTTTATTCTGACAGACTCTCGGTCGCCAGAGCCTCGTCAGTTATCTAGCAGGGTGCACTGGATGATTAAGATCAAAATCATCACACGGGCAGGTGAGGTTGACACTTGGAGAGGAGAGGCTGTATGTTGCGCGTCACTATCCTTTACACCCCTACGATGGGGGTGATTACCACTACGACGTCGATTTCGCTTAAGTCGAGCCTTCACTTTCCGAACCATTTCAGGTGATATTGCTATTTTTTTTCGTCCACTGCGTTTGGCAATGCTCTCAGTATCATGAGAAAAGGCAGCAAATATTTGATTTCACGCAAACAAATCCTATGTATCTCTTGATACGTATTTCGACCTAATAGGTCTCGTCAGAAGAGCTATTCATAGGGCTTCTCAACGTGAAAAATCAATATTTTCTGCCTTTTAAGAAGCAACAATAACATGGCTTCAATACGGACGCAGTAGCGACATCTAATTAAACAATCGTAAAATAGTTTCGAAACACAATTCAGATTTCTGCTTTATAATCTGAGCCTTCTAAGAATTGCAAGGCAAACAGACGTTGATAAAAGATGTTAAAAGAGACATGGGGAATCTAAAATTTGCATTCCACGACATGTCTTTTACAACTAAGCAGAAATCCTTAGCAAATTGTGTTTCTCGTACTCCCACAGAGCATATCCGAATAAAATAAGAAAAGGCAGCAAATATTTGATTTCACGCAAACAAATCCTATGTATCTCTTGATACGTATTTCGACCTAATAGGTCTCGTCAGAAGAGCTATTCATAGGGCTTCTCAACGTGAAAAATCAATATTTTCTGCCTTTTAAGAAGCAATAATAACATGGCTTCAATACGGACGCAGTAGCGACATCTAATTAAACAATCGTAAAATAGTTTCGAAACACAATTCAGATTTCTGCTTTATAATCTGAGCCTTCTAAGAATTGCAAGGCAAACAGACGTTGATAAAAGATGTTAAAAGAGACATGGGGAATCTAAAATTTGCATTCCACGACATGTCTTTTACAACTAAGCAGAAATAAATTAAAGCTCTCAGTATCATTATAACGAGTTATGGTGCGATACCAAACATTTTATTCACTTTGAGATGTTTGAGCTGACGAACAATGGCTGGTTGTGATTTTCCAGCCAAATATAACGCAATCACACTATTATGTTTAAATTCCATTACGAATAACTTTTGTTGTATGTATAAAATTTAAATACAAATGCTTTATAAAAAATATACTAAATATAAGTGTTATCAGGTCAAATTTGACATAGCTGTCATTATCGATTTGCCAAATATATCGATGTGAAGTTGGTAACAGTTCAATTGCGTAACCCTAAGAATGCTCCAATAAAATTCAAATACTTTACAAATTCAAAGATAATTGACCACTATGATACCTAAAAAATCCAAGATACGACATCCATCTTGAATCACAACGCTGATCCACTACTTACGCTCAAATTTGGTTAAGAAACATTAAAAAGAAGAAAGGTACAGACAAATACAAGAGATATTCAATTTTTATCTACTTCAATCAATCATTAAAAATAAGTGAGCTTGGTAAAAGGTTAGAACATAAATTTTAATCATAAATCGTCGTCATCCATGTCATTAGAATGCTTCGTAAGTCTTTGCTGGGTTTACTTTTCCTTCTATATTTGTAGATCCTAGCCACCATTTCTCATTTTTTTCAGATCCCCTCTGACTGCATTAGCGAAAATCCTCTATAGTTCATACATGATTCCTTTTTTCTTTCTTATGTTTTCTTCTTCTTTGAGTGCCTCTCCTATCGGAAATTGGATATCATTAGGGCGATTCTAATTTTATTTACTGCTGTTTTGATGTCGAATTTCATATCCAGACCACAATAATAATAATTTCTCCATGCGTATTGTTCGAGACCCTGTCCATGGCATTTCCTGAATGGCTGTTACATCATATCTCAGGTCTTCTAGTTGTTTTATCGCTCTCTCATGGAACTTAATACATTCCATGTCGTTAATAGAATGTCCTTTGTCCGTGGCTTTCATCGATTGTTTTGATAATCTGTTCTATTCCGAGGCAATAATATGGATCGCCGGTTCATAGCAAAACCCTCTTTTCGAAGGACCATGCCTCTCTTCTTCGTCTGCGCTGACCCTGCCTTCCATTGGAATTGGTTGCTCAATCTCCTGAAGTGTCCGGGGTTCACTCGTGTAGCCAATAGCATCAGCGTGGAGTTGGAGATAAGAATTGAGTAGGAGATGCTAACTGAAAACAGGACCTTATAATACACATCACTACTTCTTTGAATCCCATCTTTTTTTAATCATTCGTTCCTTTATTTTCAATAATTTTAATCATAAAACAATAGCTAAATCTACATGTCATACATTAAAACTGATTTTTCTTTTCAAACTATTTTGTTTGTGCACACAGGAACTACGATATTGCTTTTTATACTGAGCATATTTTTTCCATTTGAGAATTTATTTGCATTTCTCTGTTAGCAACTTCTCCTTCGCTTGTTTTATTTATTTCTTAATTCGTTTATGTGGTTCCCTATATTTCGTATCTCGTTCCTTCACTTCCTAGCTATTATTTTTAAGTCTCTATTCAGATTGTAACATTTGCAAGTTTGCTCAATTCACAAGTCGTACTTGCTGTTGAACTACCTTTCATAAATCTAAACAGACATTTATTTCTGTTGCTTCACGTATCAGTGTATCAATTAGTCTCTCCCAAATTTTTTAATAGCTAAGCAATTTTATAATAATATTAATATGTGACCCATCATTATAGCAGGTAATTTAAAACACAATACCTAATAACACAAGAGTTAAGTGTAGGATAAAAAAGTCATTGTTTTGATTCGCCAACTCGTTTGTTCGTTACATCAATATTAAGCCAAAGCAAGAACGAGAAATTAGATTATTTATTATTTTAGAAAGTTATCAGATGGTAATCGTACCAGGTACATTCTACCGTATAACAAGTAGTGCTACATCATTTGCACAAAGCCACCAGTTTTATGTAACCTGTTATTAAAAAAATACTAGTTGTCTACCTACGTTTCATAGTGACACTAAAGAAATCAGATTAACTGTCGGTACTGGTTGTGACACCTTATTATAAAGTGTGTTGAGGAAAAAATATATTCCAAAATTATAAAGTATGTAACTTAAAATTCAGTTACGATACAAACCAATAATTTCCTATTATGATCTTTCGATATATCATATTATAGGAAATATTTTCTATATACATATAAACTCCTGGACAAAATTAGCGTACCAATTTAATTAATCTAAATATTTACAATATGAACACAAAATTACAGCATAATTACAGCAAATTACATCAAATTTACAGCAAAATTACAAGCATACTGTCATTCACAATGGTTTTTTTCTTGCTTTTAGCGCACTAAATTTTGTTTCTTGAACAGTCTTTAAGATGTCTTTAATTCTCGTCCAGTTTTCCTCAGTACTTTCCTCTTTGCTTGATGTCAACTTATTTTTTGTTCTAATATACTAGTTATTTCTTGTTTTACAGTATCATTTAACATCTTTTCTCTATCAATAGTAACTGTTTGCTTATTCGTCCTTGCAACTCTTTTTACTCTCAGTCTTATTCTTCCTACTAAAATATTGTGATCCGGGTGTACATCTGCGCCTGGATATGTTTTTACTGCTAATACTGAATTTCTGAAATTTTTATTGCTTGCCCTAATAAAAAAAACACAAAGGAAACGATACTGTGCATTCATCGACCTCGAGAAGCCATTTGATTAGATTTCTAAACAGAGTTTATTAGGAGCAATTATAAGCTATACAATATAGCAAATCCAATTACGTAGTGCTCCAGTCTAAAGAAGGTATACGTAGTATTTTTCAACGGCTATATATATATATATATATATATATATATATATATATATATATATATATATATATATATATATA